CAATTATAACCTGTTTTATATCATCCAACAAACCCTTTATGGTTCATTTTGATACTTCCTATAGACCTCTTTTATTAGTTTTTTTTTTTTAAATGAAACTGATTATTGGATTAATGAAGCTAGCAAAAAACAATAGATTACAATTAAACTAAGAACTCATTAAACCTACGAAACTAGAACTAGAAAAAAAAAAAAAAAAACCAATTTTATTGTTTCTTACTAATGTAATTAGTCTTTGTTTTTTTATTTTTTATTTTATTTTTATCTCACATTAAAAATAAAACTAACCATATTCGAAACGAGACGACAAGATTTAACCATTTCTAACAAGTGCGACTTCTGACTTTGAACTTTACACAATATTAATGATAGAAAATTCGTCTAGGATCAGCTCGTTTACCATTGAACCAACAATTCGTTAAAGATTTAATTATTTTGTTACGACACACTAAAACATTCTATCTTTCTGATTATCAAAACCAAGCTATTATAGAGAGATTCCACAGGATCTTACTGTTTCGTAATCTATGTCTGAAGTTGATAATGCTGTTTCATCATTGGTTTTTTTTTTTTTTTTTTTAGTAAAATTCCTGAGTCGTTGTAGTTGGACATTGTTGGAACGAGAAACATGTTGATCAAAATACAACAGAATCATTGTCTAACCATGGATTGGTCACCATCAGTTTTACTCTCCAGGTTCTGCTATGGCTGGCCTTTCACCATTGAAAGCAGCACTGATCTCTTGGTGAAGTTTCAGTTAGCAACCAAACAACATAAGCTTGTCAGGATTTTCATATTACCTGATGGATAATGACAAGTTTCTGTTAACAACCAAACAAAATAAATTTGTCTGTACGTATTTAATTTTTTCAACTGACTACGTGAACAGAAGGAAATATTATTAGTCAAATTAGGACAGAATTTGGGACAATAGCCGTTCTATCAATAGTGGGATTTAGGCGTTGGAAATGGAGGAGGTCTGCCATGAGAAGATAATCAAGAAATGGCAAGGGATAAGGATTTACACAGAATTCCTATTTTTGTCGTATCATTTTCTATGTAAATGATACATATTGAGTTATTGCTTGTTTTGTATAGAGAAATGAAATGGTGGAATTAAAAATGAGAATAAAAGTTTTGGTTGAAAAGAATGAAAATTAAAAATAATTTTATTTTAATAAATAGAGGTGAGAATAAAAATAAAAAAATGATAATAAGATTTTTTTTCCTTTAAAATAAAAATATATTATTATTATTTATTGTATATCAATTACTTTTACTATTATTATCTTCTTTATCACTATCATCACCGTTCTTTTTTATTACCACCTCTTGCAATGCTAGTGACATCAACTTTTTAAAAATATATTATCACTATTATTATATTATTATTATTACCATCAATTTCTCCTCCTCAATTACCACCATCATTATCATCATCGTCGCAATCACTTTCGCTATTTTTACTTATTTGTATTTGTCTTACAAATCAAATATTAAAAATTTTAAATTTCATTATAATTTCGCATTACTTGTTTAAACACAATATTAAAATTAAAATGAATTTCGATTTTTTAATTTTTATTTCATTTTTTACATTTTTATTTCAAAATTTTATTTTTAATAATCAAATGATATATAAGCAAAATATAGGCTTTCAGAGTAGGATTAAGGGGTTTATATTATATGCTAAAAGTAATAAGTCATCACTTCTCAAAGTGGGACAAATATTTTTTTTTTGTTTTCTTTTTCATACTTATGAACTAGAAAATATAAATTTGAGGTTTTTAATCAATAAATTTGCAAGAATATATGGATTGTATTTTTTTTAGATGGATTGCAATGTTTTAAAATGTAATTTACAAGGGTGTTGCATTGCATTATTTGGACCTTAATATGCTAGTTCTTAGGCCTTTGTGTTTGGGCCTTTGATGGATCAAATTCCGGTGGTTAGTATTTGCTCCATGCCTTCCTCTCCCTCCAATCTTCCTTTTTAAAGCACTCTCTTGAAAGAAGAGAAAATTGCTTATGGAAGTCTTCTTCTTCTTCTTCTTCTTTTCCCCTTTCAAACTTGCAGAATTTAAACCGTAGAAGTTGCATTTCATAGGATTTTATTTGTTAATTTTCTTGGTTTAATCTATTCATCTAACTTTATATATTAGACGTATTCTCTCACATGTCCATTTATTTATTTATTTATTTCATTCTTATATGCTCTTGTATATTCATATTTTCTCTTACATGTATTTATGTCACTTTTTAAACAAAAATATTCCTTGGACTACCAAAAGAATATATATATATATATAAATTAATTCTAAGAACTTAACAAAATTTGAAAAATCAAGAATGAAAAAAAATAAAAAATAAAAAAATCTAGAAACATAAAAACTCGGAACATCCCAAAAAAAAAAAAAATTAAATAACCCATTAAAAATATATAAAACAAATATAGGAAACTAATGAAAATCTTAAAATTTGGCATCTTGCAAAACTTATTTTATTCTCATGCGCATATTTTTATTATAAGATTTCATGGAATTTTTTTTTTTTTTTACGTGTTAGTTTCAGTTTTCGTAGGATAAGTTTTTACAGGTTTTCTTTTATGGAATGGAGTCTGTACTTTTTATTATTTTTAAAATGTTGTTTTTGACCCGAAATCAAAATGGGCCCATTGGTCTTTCTATTGATGGACTTTGACCTTTTCTATATATCCGGGCTTGGGCCACCTTAGTTGCAACAAAAATTCTACCTATAAAAATGAGAGACTATGATTTTGGTAATTTAGAGATTTGATTGTAAGAGGCCTCCATGAATACGTAATTACTTAGCCAATATTCAATATAGTAAAAATTCATTGAAATACTTTTACAAAAAGAAGGTTAAATTCCAATAGTATATTTTTCTTTTCTACTAGTTTTTCTTTAGATTCGAATTTTTGAGCCAGATATGTCATATACTTTTTTGAAAAATTAAACTTATCAATATATTCTTATATGTTACATAATTTCTCAATCATATTTTTTTATAAGAAAATTAATCAATTTTAATTTTTCTAATTTTCTCTCATTCGTTAATATATTGGTACGCCAATTAATTTTCTTAAAATTGATAATTATGTGTAAAAAAGTTGAGGTATTTTAATATAAATTGATGGAAAAACCCTATATATATATATATATTGGTGTAGAGATTCAAATAAAATTTATTACATATTTAAACCAACGTTAATTTTTTATTTAAAATGGTTTTTTATTGTTTAAAAGAGATATTTTTACTGATTTATATTGAAATTATAACTTTTTGTATATGTGATGATTAATTTTAATGAGAATAATTTAGAGAGAAAATATATTAATAAATATAAATAAACTAAACATTATAATTAATTTGTTTTACAGAAAAACATGATTGATAAGTGGTGTCATATATAAGTGGGGTTTCCATGGTAAAAACTATGAATTGCGTTTTTTCATTTATTTTTTCTCTCTCTCTCGAGTTTTGTTTCGTCAAAATTTGGCATTTTTGGGAGAGGGTCCATTCGTTATATTGCAGCCCATGTGGCACACTGTGAATGGCCCATGCCCATGTGATGTTGGTGGAATTTGGAGTGGCAGAGGTGACGCTAGCAAAACCTTAGCCGCGGGAATCGCATTGGGGACCAAATAATATGTGTCGAACCGTTAAAAACGCCCAACTCTCTCCCTCATGATTTGAAATTGGTCCTTCAATCATAACTTGTTTTAATGTTATATATATATATATATATTTTGCATTAAACAAGCCTATATCCATAACTTTTTGGTTAAACCAAGGACATAACATACTTAGCTTTTGATTAATTATTGAGTTTCTTCTTAGAACAAATAAGTCTAAATTTAATATCACTAAAAAATAATTATAATTAACTATATGAGAATTGAATCTTAATCTTAGTCAAATAAAAAAAAATTATTTTATTGTTATTCTATAAATTTTTTATGGTTCGTTTTGATCCTTCCATCAACCTTCTTTAGTTCTTGCCGATGAAATTAGTCATGAAAGAATCATCTGTCTACCACAACAGTAAAGCTTGAATGAAAAAATCACATAAAATAGCCTATAATGCTTTTTTTTTTTTTATGTATTTCTATAATAGATAATTAGTTATAAAGTTTAAGTCTCTATTTTTTTTTATCTACAATTAAGTTATTAAGTTTTTTTTGTCTCGCTGACTAATTTTAAATCATATTAAACGCATGTGAGAGACACAAAGAGTCATAAAATAATAATACATATCTTGTATTCAAAGTTTCTCGCATTCAAAATTCCTCGTATGTAGAATCATAAAACAATGAATATGTTTTGTATTTAAAGTTTTTAGGACACATAACGAGATAAAATTTAATTAAGAACGAAAAAAAGATTGAAGATCTAAATAAAGAAGAAATTAGAAACCTTTTTTTTTTTTTTTACCGATAATTCAGGATACTTATAAGCAATTAGCCTTCTACAATTTTACAGTAATTCATCTTCGGATAATCCCTACAGCAGTGTTCAACTTAAAACAATCACGGTCTTATCCATAGACAAAAAAACTAGAAAACAAATTTTTTTGGAGAGACCATCCGCATGAAAATAGAAGAGATTGATAAGAATTTTACATTTTATAGCCTCGTAAAAAGTTGAACTCTGGTGGTGAAGCACGGAGACGTTTATATCATTGGTATTCTTGTTGTAAAATTTCTGAGCCATTGTAGTTGGTCAATTACTTGATATGTGCTCGAATTTGGAAAAACATGCCGATCAATATATACAACAAAATCATTGTCTAAACATGGTCACCATTGTTATAGTTCTGACATGATTACATAGCATCCATCAATAGTTTTACTCTCGCTCGGAGATGGACTTGGTGGTGCTTCAAAACAGTCCCTTCTTGGTTCAGACGAATTTCCCAACCCTGCTCCTCCATTTCCAGTGGCAGTTTGATTCAAAATACCAGCTCCATAATGTTCATGCTAGTTCCGTCGCAATCTCCTCTTTTTAAAGAATTGCTCTACTCTAAGAGCAGAACCATCCATCCTTTTAGAAGCATAATGCTCCTCCCATTCAGTGGCTGCCTGTGCGTCCTCCTGCTCTCTTTTCACTTGGTCGTATGCCTTCTGAACCACACTCTCAGCATGACCCGCAGTTGATGTTGACGCAACTTTGCCTCCAGCATGATGTCTAGAATTCTGGGATGACTTCATAATGTTTGAAGGTAGATCCTTCTCAACAGCCATAAAAGGCTGATGACAGTTGGGGCATAGCAGTTTGCAATTCAGAAAAATCCTATGATACGCATAACACTTCATGCATAGATTGCAGATAGTCCAAAACATATTAGATTTTTGAGATGATGGAGAAGGGACCGATGTGGGCCTCGACTGCATATTCTTGTTCCGAGTCCTTGTATGTGAAGTTGCAGTATTGTTATGATCATGAAAGCCATTTGCACTATGTTGGGCAGAGGGAACCTTGGTGTGGGTAGACACTCTCTGTTGCGGTCCTGCTGGATTCAGTTTCTGATTGTATTCTAGTCTTCTTTTCTTGTCAGATAACAAACCCCAGGCCTCCGAAACTAGCTTAAATGCACCATCTGCACCAAGAGACTTGTTTTTATCAGGATGAAGCATGAGAGCTAGTTTGCGGTATCGTTTCCTGACTGTTTCATTGTCAGCCCAGCGGTTCACACCAAGCACGCAGTACCAATCAACTTCTCCACTACTTATTCTGTTCTCAGCAGAAATGTACACATCAAATGCTGACAGCATTTGAGATAAACCCTCAAGCTCAGGATACAAGCTTTGAGCCTTTAAAGCAAATTTCTTTGCCCCAGCATAATCCCTCCCCATAAACTTCTTCTCAGCAATTTCCTTAGCCCTGACTGCTTCATCTTTGTTGCATTCCATAATATCTGTAAGTTCAAGAATATAGCCTTCGTCTTCTTGTTATATGAATGTTTCTAAGATTTCAACCACAAGTCATATTCCACAGCTCCAGGTTCTTTCGATTTTCAAAACAAATGGCACCGTCAATTCTCTGACACGGGTTCAAAGTAAAAGAAAGAAAAACTAAAATCAATGTTGCATAGATCCTAATGCAAGTTATTATAACCTTATAATTACAAAAGACAACATGATATTCATACAAATCAGAACCAACGGTGTCTGAATTTCTTATTCCTTCCCAGAATCTCCTCCAGAAAAATAACACTTGCAGAAATCATATAATTGTTTACTTGACTCCAGAACGTATCGTGTTTATCTATATTAACTAGGAGAAAATTTCAATATTTGACATAATAATAAATCCCAGTTTCTTGTGATATGAGCAACAAATGTCAGTAAAACTAGGAGCCCAACATATGATACATAAACAAAATAAGAAGTGAATGGACCACTTATCATGCACTATCATTCCCTAATACCTATAAATATAGATGCATATGATGATATGAATTACTTCATATTTAAATGGTAAAGTGATCTTTTTCCTATCAACATAATCCCTTGCAGTAACTTCTTGTTTATCCTCATGCCTAACAGTGAATCTCACGTTTCAAGCCCACAAAACCTATCGTGCAACGTATGAAATGCAATAGGGATTGATACCGTTTTAAGAATATGCATAAAGGTGGAAAAACATTCAATAGCTTAATATATATGCAGTGCCAACAAATTAAAGGGCGGGAAAAAAAGATAAAACACCACAATAGACATCAATTAATTCAGCTTTTAACACCCTAGAGTAATGCAAAATTCAGCCTTTTAAACAATTAGATTATCACGAAAACGCAAACATAAGCAACCTGCAACATTCCCTCAAAATTCTTACGGATCCAAATCCATAACAAGATACAATCAGAATTCCTACGTTCTTTAAGATAGCTAACCAACTCATTTCAACGGTCCAAAATCCAACGTAAAAAAAGCAGTAAAAAAAAACCATTTGCAAACGATTCAAAAAATCAGCCAAAAACACTACAATCAAATCAAAAACAAGTTCTTGATGTATCTACAGTGATAGGGTTTTTAAGCAACGTGTAATGGTCAAATTTCACTCTGAATTATAAGCAAATTAACTTCAAACTGTAACCCTAGATTATAAATTCATACAAAACAGTATCTAGATTGCCCATCTTGCAAAAAGCAGAATAAAAATCAAAACTTTGTTATAGAGCAAAAAAAAAAAAAAAAAAAAGGAAGAGCTAAAAATGAAAAGTTACCTAAAGAAGGAGAGTACTTTCAAATGAAGAAAATTTGAATCAGTCAACATGCATAATGGGTTTCACTTTTTTGGTCAAAAACCCATTAGAAGCTGTGAAGAACTCTCTCTCTCTAAATTGCCCAGTTAACCATAACTTATTAACTAAGGACACAAAAAAGCAAGAATGGGTTTTGTTAATATTTAAGCAGGAGTGTGTCCTTTTTTATTTTAAACCCAAATCCTACTTTTTCATAGTAGAAACAAAGTTAACCATGGTTAAATTTCAACTCTTGATTTGGGATCATATAGGCATTGTGGTGGGTCAAGTTTTAACCCAGGTTTTTTTTTAACTAGAATTGGGTTTGTAAATTTGGGTTCGTATAAGCATCGTTATAGGTTAAGTTTTAACTCGGGTTAAAATTTAACTAGAATTGGGTTCGTAAATTATGATTATGTTTAGTGAATTATTTATGGTAATACTCTCTCTCTATCTCAAAGAAGAGATTGTGCATTTTGATTTTTATGATAAAAAATATACATTTTGAAACATATATAAATAGAAAAACAGATAATTTCTTTACGGTTTGATTCATATGAAAATTGAGAATTTCTATATCAACCAACACTATAAATATGAGTTTTTTTCCAACAAATTTGCAAAAATATATGCATTGCAATATTTTTTAAAAAATGGATTGCTATGTCTTCCAAGAAATTATGACCATGTTTTTCTAGCAAACATGAATGCTTTTGGCTTATACCAAAGGCATTGGAGATGGCACCACGTCACCAAGAACATCTTTCTAGGAATCGAACTTGGTCTTTTTCTAATGTGATTTCCAAAGTCGAATTTGAATTATGGAATGTCGATTTTCATAGGGTTTTGTTTGCTAATTTTTCTTTTATGAAATGCAGACTGAACTTTTTATTGCTCTTTAAATGTATGTTTGACCCAATACCAGATTGGGCCCATTGGTCTCTTTGTTTATGGACTTTTACCTTCTTGTATATCTGGGCTTGGCCCACTTTAGTTGCAATAAAAAAATTCCACTGTTCTGGCAATTATTCATTTTACTGTTCATAAAAAATATTTTATGATTTGGCTGGTTTTATAGGAATTAGATTGGAATAATTTAAATCTTCGTAATTTCGTCTTTTTTTTTTTTTAAACATTTTGTCGAGATAGGATAAGATTGTAATCTGACTGTTTGCTGCATGGTCAAACCTTATCTCTATCCACCTCTTTGTTAATAATTAACCGGTGAGAGATATGTGAATTTAAGCTTTTTTCTTTTTTTTTTTTTTTCCCAACTCATCTCAACCTTATATTTTTAACCGTAAAATCCTGAATTTTCATTCAATAAATATAAGAAAACTATTTCACTCTTTCTAACCTCCTCCGTCTTCTCTTTCCTCACACATTATCTTTTTGCAGAACGTGTATTTTTCATATTCTCTTATCTTTTCTTTTCTTTTTTTTATTAATTTCTTATTTTCTTTCTTTTTATTTGTTCATTATAAGTTCTTTAATAAAGAAAACTAAAGTCATGATTCTTAATTTAACTATAAGATGGTAGTTCGTTGATAAAAAATATTAACTTACAAATCAGAAGTTTTAAAAACTAATTTCTATATAGATTATTAGAATAGAGGCATATGTAGTTTTGTTTTTCTTTTAAAAATTATTTAATTTTTTTCTTCTAATTTTTGAAGACACCAAACGTTTGAACTTTTTTGGTTTTGGTAAAAAAACATTTAGGCTTTTAAGATTCAGAAGTTTATATATATGTGTGTCAAGACATCGTCATTCTATTACTAGATCCTAAAGCATTTAAGGACATAATTGATTTGTTTGTTGACAAATACAAAGACAAAAATATTTCAGTTGTTGTAAGTGAAAACTCATATGAAAGAGTGAAAACACCTTATTTTTAGCAAAATTTCATTTTCTGTGAGGTATAATTGGAAGATTTGATTTAAGTTTTTTTAACAGATTTTTATCATTTTGATTTGGAGTTGAAGGTGGTGAGATCTTTTTGCTTTCACAGTATAATGCACCATTGCATTTGCCTGAGTATAGATTGTTAATTCTATTATCTTTGCATGTGACTAACTTCTCTATCCAGTCATTTTTTTAAAAGGTATTTGTCATGTGAAGTTATGTTTTTTTTTTTTTAATGCTTTGTAAAAATTTAATCATAAATTAGCATATTTAATACTTTTATTTAGTGAAAATATATGATATATTAACTAAATTTTGTTTGTATTTACAATCAAATATCGAATAAACACACACACACACACGTGTGTGTATGTGTGTGTGGAGAATGGAATAGACCCATGAGTTATGTGTCATCTCTCAACAGCTGGACATAAAAGATCCAGAAACCCACAATACCAAATATAACAAGCCCAACTAAGGCTTGTAAGTCACATCATAAGACAATTACATATCAAGCTGGCCCATAATCCTAAAGGATAACCATCTCTCAACAAGGCAGGTCGCCTTCGAGGAGAGTTTAGTAACCTTCATATCCTAAAGTGTTTCGGTATAGAAAAGAAAAAAATAATAATAATTCCATTTTCCTCCAATGTCACGAGGAGGGATAGATAATTTAATGAATATTCTCTAATATTCAATCAAATAGTTGTTCATCGTTATAACACTAATGCTATTGCATGCTAGATATGATGATAACTAAACACTATTATTTATCGGCTCAATAACTAATGCAAAAAAAAAAAAAAGACATTGATAATCTTTTTACGATATAAATTGCACCCATGATCGCCTAAATAAATGCTCAAAATAATAGGTTTTAGCTTCTCATCTTAAAATAATTTTTAAACAGTTTCTAATTCCTTTTAATTCTTTTTTATTTATTCTCTAAAAGAGTTTTTTTAGACCAATTTATTATATTTCAACTACTAACTTAATTATCAGATGATTTCTCATTTGGATTGACTCGTCTAGTAAAATTAAGAAGCAAGACTCGTGTAAATGATAATGATAGTTAGAAAATCACGTAACTAGAGTGAGGGTTTAATAATGGAATGGAATACTAGATGATTCTTTGTATTCGATACTTGTAAAATAAGTATTTTAATTAAAAGTTTTTTATCCGTCCTTTCGAAAAGTAAAATTATAGTAGATCATTCGCATTTATCAAGAAAAATGATTGGCGTCATCCACAATCGATTGGATTTCGAAGCCGAACAAGAAAAATATGTGAATTGTCATAGGAATGACAATCATTGAAAGGTTCATAAACTACAGTATGAGTTATCCAATTGAGTACTGCTGTATTTAACTTAAAAAAAACATCATGAAAACTCACAAATAGACAAATGACAATTACTTTATTCAACTTTTGAAATATTTATTAGATTTGTCAAATCGTGGATCATTCTTTATATACAATTCGTGCAAGACACATTGCTATATCCAATTACAGACTTTTTTATTATTAAAACAACATCTAGAGGTTGAAAGGACGAGTCCTCATCGTAAGGAAATTGTTTTTTTATTTTAATTAAACCCAAATTAGTGATTTGGATAAACCAAGATTTATATATATATATATATATTGTATTTCAAAATTCTTCAGAGGAGACAGGTCCCTTGACAAAATACTTACAGTTTTTGCTTTGTAATAACAAATAGAGAATGTTGGGTTCTTGTTTGACAAATGGCGGGTGTGGC